TGAATGGAACATGTAATTTAAAATTCCTATAGGAGAAAGCTATCATATGTCATACAATTCAGTGAATGCATGTTCGTTAACAAGTTATTTAATTTTTGCTTTATAAAGTATATTGAGAGTTCGGCTTCAGTGATTATTAACATTTAATAACGACTTTGAACAAGTGCATCTGATTTTAATGATATTGATATCACCCATTTTAATTTTTACAGAAACATTACAGCCCCCTCCGTCTTCTCACAATTCAACAGTAAATAAATCGGATGATGAGAGTCAGCTATCTCTGAAGAACTTGAGTGCACTCGAGACAGATGACAGTTTGAATGGAGACCAGGATGTAACGAGTCGGACCAATTCCTCCCCAGAAACAAGTGATCATGACATCACTACCGGGGAACTGTCACATGATGACTCCACAGAGAATATAGAGACCCGCGAGAGACGAGATTCAGGTGTCGGGTCTTCACTCACTCGAGCTCCAAGGTGCACATATTAATGAATCATACACAACAATTTGTTTACAATGTTACTGGTGAAAAGAATTTGTTAAATCCCTTGATATATCTTTAAGAGGAGAAAATCAGTTAATAAATAAATCATGAACATAATGATTTGTGATCTGCTGATTATGAAAAAAGGAAATACATGTAAATTAAAATATTAAAGAAGGATTTCTTTTATTATTATTTTACAACCTTTTTGATACTTTATTTCAAGGGTATGTTCTGTATACAAGTTTTATTTTCTTTATAGTGACAGAAGAAGACAGAGAATTCGCTGGCATAGTTTCCAGAAATCACACAGACCAAGTGTGAGCGGCAGAAATACTCACATCAGCAGTCTGTCCGTGTGTCAACTCATGGTGCTACAAAAACTCTCCTTGTGTCGTTTGACAGGCCTCATAGAAAAATACTCACCCAATCGCTCAGGATGGAACTGGAGCATGCCCGGCTTCATGAAACGCCACAAGACCCCTAACTACAATGACCGTAATGTGTTTGGTGTCCCTCTCCTTGTGACTCTACAGAGGACGGGCCAGCCCCTCCCCCAGTGTATGCTTAGTGCTATGCGGTATCTCAGGAAAACAGCCAAAGAAGCTGTGGGAATCTTCAGGAAATCTGGTGTGAGGACCAGGATTCAGAAACTGAAGAATGAAGTGGAAGCTAATCCAGGTTAGCAGTAATTACATTGTAAAGATAAGTCGCAGTTTACTGTCACGTTTAACTTTTATGATGATAAACAGGAGTATGAAAGTAGTTATTAAAAGGCATTAAAATGCAAATGGAACAACTTTAATGGTTTCCATTATAATGTGGAGCAAAAGAATCACAGTACAAAGAGAGATAACTCTTGAATAAAATATGGCTTTCTCTCTTTCAGATTCAGTGAACTTCCAAGAACTTCAGGCCTACGATGTGGCAGACTTACTCAAGCAATACTTTCGTGAATTACCAGAGTGCTTGTTAACCAATAAGCTCTCAGAGGTCTTCATCAATATCTTTATCTGTAAGTTCTCAAAGTTTCTTTTCCAAATGACAAAAATTAACAAAGAAAACATTTAAAAGTTTTATAAATTCAGAGCTTTCTAAGAAATGATTGCGCATTTATCAATGAATGATTTGGTATTTATCTTATATATTGTTATGTTGTAGATTTGCCGAGTGAGCAGCGTCTAGAAGCCCTACAGTCAGCTGTCATCCTTCTTCCTGATGAGAACAGAGAAGTTCTTCAGTCTCTTCTTTTCTTCCTGTACGACATTTCGATGCAGGCTGAGGAGCATCAGATGACGGCCAGTAATCTCGCCGTGTGCTTCGCTCCCTCTCTGTTCAACATGAGCGGGACAAAGAGCGCCACTCAGAGTCCGAGCCCACGCAGACCCAGGAAGAATCTCGGGGTACCGGACGCTCGAGAGCTTCAGGAACAGAAGGCGGCCCACGAGTGTCTGACAACTCTTATCCAGGAGTGCAAAAAACTCTTCAATGTAAGTGGGTTAACAATTCCTGAAATTTGCAGTTTGAGATTCTTCAGAATATTTACTTGAAAATTTCTGAGATATTTGCAATATTTTCAATGACTTTTGAAAAATTTCAGATTCCAACAGCAATGATGAGCAAGTGCAGATTCTCCTACATTGAGCAAGGAGATCCGGTTTCCTTGGAGGAGTTCAACAGGCGCAGTTCTCAGGACGATCAGCTTGAGTATCAGGCTTACGTGGACACAGCCATCCAGGGGCTACTGAAGGAATCCAGGGACAAGTTCAAAGGTTGGGTGTCGGTCAATTCTGTCCCAACTGACGTCGACTTGTCCTACAAAAAGGTGACGGATGGTCATCCACTCAGACTGTGGAGATGTTCAGCTGAAGTGGAGGCTCCACCATACGTGGCACTGGACTGCGTCAAGGACGAGAGGTGAGTTGTCTATGCTTCTAGATAAATTATTAAGTTTCAGTAAAAAATCTGTTGAATTAAATTAAAGCAAGTTTTCTGAATCGGAAGTAAAGATGATAACATTGAAGTTGGAATGATTCATTTAGTTTTGATATTATGATGGGGCACCTTAAACAAATTTCTAGATTTCATTGAATGATTTTTTTCCTCATAGACATACTTGGGATGAAGACCTCATTAAATGGAGATCTATTGAGAGACTGGATTCCCAGACTGAGGTCTTCCAGTATACCCAGAGTTCAATGGCACCACATCCTGCCAGGGATTTCTGTGTCCTCAGGTAGATATCACTTTGGAGTCTTCACAAGAAATTCGCATCTTAAAAACTTCTGATGTTAATATTAGAAAAAAATTAACATTGAAAAGAGTTTGTATCAATATATAATAATGATTTATCAATTTAACTTTTTAAAGTGGTTGATGATTTTTCAGAAATTTTAAATTTTCATAATTTTTTTCTCTACAGGTCCTGGAGAACAGATCTCCCCAAGGGATCGTGTGCCCTGGTTTCCACATCCATTGATCACCCTCAGGCTGAGCTGAACGGGGCCATACAGGGGGTGGTTTTAGCGTCTCACTACTTGATAGAGCCCTGTGGGTCAGGGAAATCACGAGTCACCCTCATAAGCCGCATAGACATGAGGTACGGTTTTTCCAAAAGTCCATGGTTTTAATAGTTGATACCTTGTTTTATAAAGTTTGTGCTCATATTTTTGAATTCTTATGAAAATATTTCAGAAATTGATCTTTTGCCTTTTGTTTTGTAGGGGAAGAACACCAGAGTGGTATAAGAAGGTGTACAGTTACAGCTGTGTGAATCAAATGGAGAGAATCCGGGACTCCCTGAAACAGAGTACAGAGGGACCCGAGTCCACAGTGTGAAGCCAAGCTTCTGATTCTGATGAAAAATCTCCTAGTAACAGGGGCCTGTCCCTACACCAGAAAGGTGTCTCAACGTGGCACCAAACTGCTGAAGTCCATGGAGGGTGAAGCATGGAGTCATTGACAGAGAATCTACTTCTGTTACACGATACACAAAACCATAGACACTGACGTCAGTGCTGGACAAAACCCTAATCCAATAGAGAACAATAGATAGTCTGTGACAGATGTGGGGCGCTATCCACATGACAATCTAGTGCTGTAATATAGAACATTCCGTATAGAGTATAGAGGAGGCAACATGTGTTCATTTTATTAGCATTACTGTTGAATTTTGTAGAAGGGGACCTAGGTTCACTAATGAGTAGCATTTAAAAACAGAATGGTGGGCAGTCCCCACTGTTGCCATAGGGAAGGCAGCATTATGTCTGTTGGTAACCATAGGAACCATGCTAGTCATGTGACCTGATATTATTCCTTGGGAGTAGAGAACCTGCAATATTACTAAATGCATTTACTTGTTGTATTGTGCCATGTCTTGTGTATATTATGTTGTAAATATTGTCCAACCTTTTAAATGTACAATGCACAAAAGTCATTATGATATGAGTTTAGTAATACATACATGTTATAAGTTATGATAGTTATCAGTTACTGGCATTGAGTGAGTTTTGAATGTAAGAATGGCTGAATTTTACTTGAAAGTGTACGTGAGCAAGGTACATTCTGTAAGAGAGAGACTTTTAATGTATATGCTGATGTTCTCTTTGGCCAGACTCTGTCGTAATAATCAAACCAATGCATACCTCATTTTAGCCGGTCAAGCGGTTAAGTTATTTATCCTGTACACTAATGCTCCCCTGAAGTCTGGTCAGACTGACCAGTATATATGTAAAAGTCTGGTCAAATTGACCAGTATATAAGAATGTGTTACAAATACAGTGGTTGTGATGCATTTGGTCAAGATAGTTATAAAATATTCATCATTGATATTATTCCTAAATTAAACAATAGTACAATCATTAAGGAAAACACATTACATGTATCTAATAAACTACAGAAATCCACAGTTCCTGTAACATTGTATAAAGGTGTAGTCATTCAGTAGCTATTATCAAGTGTATTTAAACACCATACCTTGTTTATTTTGGACAAGTTAACATCAGTCACAGATTTTACTTTCACTTTGTTACATCAGGAGGTGGTAAAGTCACACAACAGTGTACAGCGTCATTAATGATATTGTCATCTCTCTTACCTCAGACCATATATATCATAATTCCATTGTATGTGTATCTTGTTATGATATTTGTTATTATAATGAAATCATAAATATTTAAATAAAATATGAAATTTAAAACATAAGATTTGTCTTTCTTGCAAGAGACGTAGAGATTTAGGTAAAAGAAAAAGTCGACTGTGTCTTTGATACAATCAGAGTTATCTCTCTTACCAGAGAGTCACTGGCCCCTTTTCTGAATATACTAAGTACATGTATGTCAAAGTCACGCGCAACGCACATGTACACTTATCAAATAATGTTCAATTCCTACTGATACGTTTTGAAGGTATTCTTGATATAGAATCATAGTACCCTTAGATGTGCTTACTAGTTAGTCAAAAACCATTAACTTTTCCAGGATTTTTAACAAATATAAAGTGATGAAAATCATTGGCTTAGTCTAAGAAAAAGTAACAAAAGTATTAGTTTTAGCTGGTATTTCTTCAAAATTTGATTTAGAAGAGGTGGACACCATATCATTAAACACTTGAAAAGTCGCAATGTAGTACTTCAATTATCATGATTCTTATGATATACAGGGAATAAGTAAATCTCAAAATTACGTTTCGCACATTTATCGCCTCTTGAATGGCTCAGTAGTTTTTAAAATATAAATTATGATGTGCGAATTAAAGCTGACATGAATTCTTAAAAACGCAACATTTTCATCATTGTACGACTTGTTTCATACCAACTATAGCCGTATTCCGCCATATTTCTTTCAGATACATTGTCTCATTGTAACGATATATACCCCAATGCGGTCGTTACACTTGAATGATTTTGTGGCTTGGGTATCGACTTGTGCACATCTCCGATGGTAAAGCATATGAGAACACATGAGGTGATCAAAACATTTCAAAACCACAACAAACAACATAATAATCATATTTCTGAATAATTATTGATTTGAATCAGAAGGAAAAAATGCAAGTTTGGATGAGAAATTTAGATGCATGAGTACGTATTTTACAGTGCGCCAATTTATGCAGAATAAGCTTGAAATAAAAAGCAGTAAAATTTGCAAACACATTTTGAAATTATATCATTTGAATGGAACAAAACAACCTACGTCTTTGATTTGCAGGTCCTAAAGATGCAATTGATGCATATCGAGAAAACGCCTCGAACGCTGTAAACGTACCCATACCTGGAAATAAGGTTACTGCATCGGTTCAAAGATGTGCACAAGTCAAGTGATATACACCCTGAATCCCATTTATTGAAATATGCATCACAAAAAAGAAATAAACTCCATAAAAGCTCAATAGTAAACACACTGTCATTACTCCCGTAACTCCGTACAGACTAGCTCGTCGATACACTTAGTCCGTGCTGATCACATTTTGATCAGGGAAAATATCACAAGTGGAAAGAGAACTTATTTGGGATTTGCGCTGCTGAAAAGGGGGGGTTAAAGTATTATAACTGCTGTTCATAAGCTATAATTGTGAATTGTCAATCTACATATACTTTTAATATACATTCTATACAAAGTCATGTATATAGTCTGCAGTTGGTTTGCGACGCAAAATTCATTTGTCAATTATAACTGATTATTTTAGTACTAATCTCAAATTTAAACCAAGTAATTTGAGGTACGGTAATTATTTACGTCAAATCTTAAAAGCAATTCACCAGAATACAAATTTTTATGTGTACATCTATACGTTCATTAACACACACACAAACACGGAGAAAGGCCATCCCCTGTTCAGATTGACATTTAGGCATTTAATTTTTTTTTTAGGCGCGGGGGGGGGGGCATGCAAAAATAATTGACATGACCGTTATTTAAATATTCTTGGAAGACAGACATTTCTGCCGAATTCAATTTTGAGATTTTTTAAAAAAATTGTCACTTCGACCACAAAGTAAGTGCATTTTGAGGAATGTAACTGTTTTATGTTGTTACAGAGAGTCTTTCGAGATTTCAGTATCCCTGCCTGATAGTCTAGCTATTTTTTTTGTATAAGAATAATTTCTTTAGGAGTATTTGAGAGATAATTTTAAGAGCTAGGGTAGGGATATTTGACACTGGTTGAATACGGATAATTTTTATTAACTCTTTTGTATATTGAACTCTCTCTCTTCTCCCTCTCCCATCCGTTAGGGCAATAATAGTTATAAAATCCCACACACTTTATGCTGTACCATTTATTAAGCCTTAGAACTGATCAAGGATTTTTCTCAGACGGGATGTCGAAACTTCATAAATTGAATAATAATTTTAATTTGGACAAGAAATTAACCCAAACGCACTAATTGAAAGAGAAACTAGAGGTATTGTGAGCAATGAGCTCACTAAAGGATACCCCGCCTCCCATGTGGTTATACATGTAATGGCAGTCTATATTTTGCTGTTGTCGCTAAACCCAAAATATGTGTCGAATCAAAAAGCAGGCACGTAGCATCGTATTTAAAAGTGGTGGCCAGTCAGAGAATTCTTTTTAATTACCTGAAAAAGTTGACAAGCAAAAAACAAAACAAAAAAAACAAAACCTTCAATTAACATTTCCTATAGTACAAGTTAGGTCGAGGAAAAAAAGTGGGGGGCAGTCCCCCCCCCCCCGTTCCTACACCCCTGAAAAGTAAAATAGGAGTTGCACAATAGTAATATGTAATAAACCTTAGATTCTGTGAAAGTTTCATTAAATTTCAATAAGTGGTACAAGATGATTTGCGGATAAGAGATTGGTACCCCAAAGCGTAAGAGACAGACGCACGGACAGACGGACGGACATAACGATTACTATATACCCTCCCACTTTTCAAGCGGGGGATATAATAAACGTGAAATATACATCACAGGAATGGGAACATTGGGTACTTTCTCAATTACCTTCTCAAACGTACGTGTCGAACCTGGACCTGGACAACAGACAAGAGAATTTTTAAAAAAGCTAATTGTAGGTAGAATGTGGAATTCTCATGGGGAGTTTGCTCTCTCTACCTATATGCTTTTTCTAATAATCATTAATTATTTATGTCTAGAAATTTAATTCACATTAAATTCTATTTTCATTATCATTGCACCACAGAATCAAACTCGTTTATTATACTCCTCGCAATAAGTTGCGTGCATGAGGTATAATGTTTTTGACCCGTCAGTCAGTCTTTTTTTTTTCTTTTTTTTTTTTTGGTCAGCGCAACTTCTCATACACCTCTGCACAGAGTTTTGTCCAATTTTGCAGATATTTATAGGAGACAATGTGTGTGTAGATTTGCACATCACCAGAAAATTCCGAATTCTTTATTTTTTCGGGAATTTCCGCACTTTCACATTTAGATTTTGGCCATATCTTGAAAATAGAGATGAACAGTTTGTTAGCGCAATTCCTCATAAACCGCTGCACACAATTTCATCAAACTTTGCACGTATTTAGGACACAATGTGTATAGATGAGCATAATACATGGAAATTGCGATTCCTTTATTTTTTCTGGGAATTTCAGCACTTTGACTTTTGGGGAAGCGTGGGGTATGTGAACTTGCTCACTTTTTTCTTCCATTGTGCATAAAATTATAGATAACTTTGAATCAAATTATATTAGTTCTAATAAAGCCTATACATAGTATTTATTTGATAATAATTAATCTGTTTCAGACGTTTTTCTTAAATTATTTTTATGAGAGTATTAATATGCATGTTTTATTACCCCCCCCCCCCTCCTATCACAGGAAAATATCTTCAAAAGGTGAATGATTCGTAATAATACATGCTTTATTATGAATTTATTGAAGTTAAACCATGTAATCATAAATTTTATTTACTACATTTACAAAAAAGAGTAATGTTTATTTTTGAAAAAAAAAATTCAACCCCACTGAGCTTTCAACCTTTGATATTTTCCCTGACCAAATAAAATGATCGGCATGGGCCACGTGTGTCCAAGCATCTTTTACTATTGAGTTAGCAATGGATTAGTACCTGACTTCTGAGATGCATTTTTCAATAAAAGTAAAATAGGATAATTCTTTCGACATGTGCACACCCCTGTAACGATAGCAGTATTCAGGTAAATGTTTTATCACTGCGTTTGACGCGTTTTCTCGACCTGCATGGATTTTTGCTGTACATAAATGTATTCCATGTTAGTGTACTTTTTATATTGCAGCAAATGCATTCAAAAATAATTTAATTCTCGGTATAGCTCTATTTTTTGTTGAATTTTTACTTTTCAAACATGTATTGGTCAGTTCCTGGACTTCTAAAAACTATGCTATCGGAGATGTGTACATGTCGACAGCCAAACTAGAAAATCACTCAAGTGAAACAGTTCTACAGGGCTATATATAGCAGGTACAGGTGGCCAAAAATCTTCGATTAAATATGGCGGAATCGAACAAATATGTCGGACAAGGGCGTTCAGGAATGTAGTAAGTCGTACAAAGATGAAAACTGATGCCTTTTTAAGAGTTCATGTCAGCTTTAAGAATGTTAGTGTGTGGGGTGCAAACCAGACAATAACGCATTCAAGAACTATTGATCATGGGCATTTATACGGGACCATTGATCGATATACTCGAGTTTCAATCGAGTTCTGTTTCTGTTCTTAAAACATATACTTGTCCCGTCGTGGTTCGTGAGGGTGGAGTCGGAGTACGTTTTGTAACATTGCTAAACGATTATATATTTTTAAGAATATAAACAGAATTCTTCCTTGTTATGACAATACATGTATAAATATGTAGTTCTAAAGTTTGCAATACAGGAGAGAATATATGATTGGCCGGGAATCGAACTCGGGACCCCTGTGTGCTCAACCGACTGAGCTACCCAGACCGATATCTCCGGCGCAAACCATTGCACTCCCTCTCCTTAGTTTGTTTTACCCTCGAAGACACAATTCACCTAAGTTCTTTTTTAGCCCCTGACAGGACTTTCACCTGCAAGTCCAGGACAGAGGTGTATATGGAGCGCAGGGACGTTACAGGCACGTAGCATCGTTTTTGAAAGTGGGGGGGGGGGGGGCAGCCAGAGATTTTTTTTTACTTATCTGTAAAACTTAACAAGCAAAAAAAAGTAAGAATGAAATTGCCCAAACTCGAAAATCCTATTCCGGGGGGGGGGGGGGGGGGC